CGGGAGCAGGAGTCGGGATTCCGGGAGCAGCGAGCCCTGGCGTCTGAGGCCCGGCGGAGGCGTCTAAAGGACCTGGAGGAGCACATTGCGGAGGCCCGGGCCAAGAAACAGCGAGGGCCGAGGAAGGCAGAGCAAGGAGAGGACGGAGGTGAGGTGGGGGGCCTTTGGGGGAGGGGGCCGGGAGTGTCTGCCCTAGCTTTAACTCTCCCTCTTTGGTCTCCCCCAATCAGGGCCGCAGCCCCCTTTCCCAGAGACTGCAATGATGGTCCAGCTCCCCACAGCCCGGCCCAGACCGGCCTGGGCCAGGCCCCTGGACTGGCACCATCCATCCCCAGATTGGCCTCATGCTGGGAACCCAGCCCATGAGCTGCGGTACCGAGTCTACAAGGATCTGTGGGAAAGAGGCTACTTCCTCACCTCCGGAGGCAAGTTCGGGGGTGACTTTCTGGTCTATCCAGGTGAGCTGCCCCCCCCCCCCCTTGCCTCATGGTCCCTTCAAGGGTTGGCCCATGTTCTGAGTCTAGCTCTGATGTTTGATATATATTGAGCTGAGGGTGGGGGCGGGGCTCCAGGCAGGAGCTGGATGGCAGCTGTCCAAGATAGGAGATTCTGATCTCTGAGCCCATCCAGGCCATCCTTCTAAACCTTACTGCCAGCTCTGCTTCAGACCCTTTGGTCTCTTTTTTTTTGATGAGGCAATTGGGGTTAAGTGACTTGCCCAGAGTCACACAGCTAGTGAGTGTTATGTGTCTTCGGACACATTTGAACTCAGGTCCTCCTGACTCCAGGGCCAGTGCTCTATCCATTGTGCCACCTAGCTGCCCCACCCTGGACTCTTGATGCTTGGCCTCCTGGAACTCATTCTTTTTCTGGGCCTCAAGTTTCCTCAGCTGTCACAAATGAACTTCAGACTTCATGCCAGCTCTGCTGTCAGTGACCTTGTTGGTTGGGGTGGGCGGAGGGAGGGTTGAGAAAGCAGATGAAATCGGGGATGTCTCCTTCACCTACCTCATTCTTCCCTTCTCCCCACCCCAGGTGACCCCCTTCGCTTCCACGCCCACTTTGTGGCCCAGTGCTGTGCCCCTGGGGACCCCCTCCCGCTGCCAGACCTGGTCTCTGCTGGCCGTCTTGGGACCAACGTACGAAAGACCTTGCTCCTTTGCTCCCCTCAGCCTGATGGCTCCGTGGCCTATACCTCCCTGCAGTGGGCCGGCCTGCCGTGACCAGAGAAGGCAGGGGGAAGGAACCCTGGGCTCCTGATTGCTTGTGTGACCCTTTCCTTTATCTGTATCCCAGATATTTTGGACTCCAGGGTGTCCCTGTGCATTTCAGCTGGAGAACGTGAGCCCCTTGGGCCTGGGAAGGAGACTGGATGAGCCAGAGCCTTTGTCGTGTGGCGATCCTGGGGGCCAGACCCTCCCAGGAGTCTGAGTCAGCTCCAGCATTCCAGAGATGTCTCAGTCTTCCCCTCTGGCCTCAGTCTCCTCATCCTTAAAATAGGGGCAGCATGAGGGGGTAGGTGGGGAATCTCATTTTACCAAAGCGGTCAGGGGATTGCTTGGGCTCAGAATTGGAGACTCTCAGTTGCCAAAGAGAGGGGGCCTAATCTCTCCTCCAAGTGACAAGATGACTCCATTCTTCCCAATTCAAGAGGTGACTTCCCTGGTTACTTTATGGTGGGGAGAGACTTTGATCCCAGAGGCAGCTAAATGTCACAGTGCCAGGAGGGGAGTCGGGGAGTCGGGGAGACCTGAGTTCTAACCTACCCTCAGACACTGCCTAGCTGTGTGACCCTGGCCAGGTCACTTCACCTTTTTCTGCTTCAGTTTCCTTATCTGTAAAATGGGGACAATCCTAGCCCCTCCTTCCCAGGGTTGTGAGGATCAGCTAAGATAATTGTAAAGGGCTTTGCACAGTGCCTGGCACATAGTAGGTGCCGTATATGTATGTGTTATATTATATATCTGTGCACGCATACATTATATCACGATTGTTGTCCCCCTGTGGTAGAGCCTCAGGTCCTTCACCATCCTGTTTGCACACAAAGTCCTTCCGCAGCAGAGACAGGCAGCTGAACGGGCACTGCTCCTCTTGTTCTGTCATTTCAGTCCTGTCCCACTCTCCAGGACCCTGTTTGGGGTTTTCTTGACAAAGATTTTGGAGCATTTTGGCATTTCCTTCCTCAGCTCATTTTACAGATGAGAAAACTGAGGCAAACAGTGACTTGGCCAGGGTCCTACAGCTAGGAAGCATGTGAGGTTGGATTTGAACACTGCTGCAGGGCTGGTCATTTCCCCCCACCCCACTCCCTTCCTGCTCCAGTCATGGACACCAGGCCTCTGGAAGCTTCTCATGTCGTCCATGACCTACTCTGTGGGTCCTCTCAGCTGCCAAGGCGGGTCTTTCTAAAGCTTGGGCCCAATCATGTCATGCTTCTGTTTAGTCTCCGCTTTCAGTTTCTAGGGTCCAGGATGAACTCCTTTGTCATTTAAAGCCCTTCCTTACCAGGCTGCAACCTCTGGGTCCAGACTTCAGGCCCGCCCTCTGGTACTGCCCTGAAACCTTCCCCAGGGCCTGGAATGGGTCCCCTCTTTACCCCTGCCTTTTGGAATCCATTTTTCTTCCACACTCAGCTCAGGGCTTTTTTCCGTGTGAGCCCCTTCTCAGTCCTCTCAATGGCTAGTGCCCTCCCCCTCCTAAATCACCTTGTATTTGTTTTTTATATGGACTATAAGTAGGTGTGTGTATATTCATATACAGCCATATGATATAGGTACGTGTGTGTGTGTGTGTGTGTGTGTGTGTGTGTATATATATATATATACACGTCCATATATATGCATCTCTCTTCAGTAGAGTGGAAGTTTCTTGAGAACAGGGATTGTCTGGCTTTTATAGTTATATCCTTGGTGCCTAGCCCAGGGCCAGGTACCCAGTAGGAGCTTAATAAATGTTTGCTGATTGATTGCTGGGGGAGTCAAATGAGTTCATGAAGGGGAGAAGTGAAAACTGTTGGATTTGGAGAGAACTGGAATTCAAATCCTGTCTGCTGCTTCTACCCTGTGACCCTGGGCAAGTCCCTTTCCTTTTCTGGGACTCAGTTTCCCCATCTGAGGGGCTTGGACTCCATGACCTCCAAGGTTCCTCCAGGTAAAGCACAATGTGAATATTAGCTGTTAGGTATTAATATCTTGGCAGGTTTTTTAAAAAAAAAACTTTCCTTCATAAGTTTAAAAACCAAAACAAAAAAAACCCCTTTGCCCAGATAGTGGTAATTTTAAAAAAATCTTTCCTTTGTGATAGTTGGGCAGCTAGGTAGAGCAGTAGATGAAAGTACTGGGCTTGAAATCGGGAAGACTTGTCTTCCTGAGTTCAAATTTGACCTCAGACACAATAGCTGTGTGACCCTGGGCCAGTCACTTCACCCTGCTTGCCTCAGTTTCCTCATCCATAAAATGAGCAGGAGAAGGCAATGGCAAACCGTTCCATTATCCTTGCCAAGAAAACCCCAAATGGGGTCACAGAAAGTTGGACGTGACTAAACAATTCACTAATAGTGTATGAAAAGACTCCTTATTGAAAGTGACTGTAAATATCTTAGTTGAAGAAAGCATCCCCTTAATTTTAAAGCAAATTATTTTGCAGATAATTTTTGTTCGTTTACGTGTGTGTATGTATGTACGCACGCTCGAGAGTGAGTGTGCCCCCACACACACGTTACTGAGAAGTCCAGAGAATCACGATGTGATCTTTTCCAAACATAAATCAGTCCAACTGCAAGACCGAGTGTTTTGGGTTTCATCGTCCTCACATCCATCCTTACATGCTCTGGTCTAGGTATTCCACCCACGAAGCACATCCCTCCAGTCTGTAGTGAGAACAGTACAATTAAGCCAAGGCCCAAGGACAGTGCCAAACGTGGGCAGCTTTCGTGAGGAGCTGGGAAGGGGATGTGGAGAGCAGCTCTAGGGAGCTGGTTGAAGATGCTGGGGAGATTTAGCCTGGGGCTGTGGGACCTGATAGCCGCCTTCAGGTAGTTGTTTGTTCTTAGAGAGGACCATGACATCAGGAAGGTGATGCCATGACATG